GACAGGTGACTCTCCCAAAGTCACTGTACTTGAGGACTGCTGATCACTTAACAGTCACAGTCTATGATAATATTTTCTGTTTTTTTAAGATTTATTTTACTTATTTATGCATACAAGAGCTGGGGTGTAGGCTGGAGGTGCTGGGTGGGGTGAGAGGATTCACCAAAGACAGACTGGGGAGCAGAACAGGCAGATCCACTGAAATACACTGCTGAAAGGAGCAGGGGGTGAAACAGGAGAGGTCTGCTGCGCCATATGGGTCAGCTCCCTGCCTGGAGCTCTAACGCTTGCTGAGTGGCTACAGATAGCTTCAGAGTGCTAAGACTTAACCCCTTGCACCACCAGGGAGGCCCTATGATTGTATTTTCTTTTGCGTATAATTTTTTCCTGGAGCTAATAGTTACCTCTTTTACTATATGCACTGCTCCAGGCACTTGGGATGCACGTGAATATACCATGCTGACTACCTTGCTGGAGCTCACATACTAAAAGGGAAGACGTTGAACAGAAGTGTGATGCAAGACACAGCAGGGGTGAATGGGGTAAAGAAATCCCATGGTGTGACTGAAGCTATTAAAGGACTATCCTGGCTCCTGTGTTGAGGGTGGATTGAGAAGAACAAGGACGGAAGCAGAGTCAAAGAGGTTGCTTCAGCAGGAATTCAAGCAACAGAAGATGGCAGTCAGGATAAGAGTGGTGGTGGTGGTGATGGTAAGAAGTGTCAGGTTTCGAACACATCTATTGAATGGAATCATGACTATTTCCCATTATTGGTTGTAGGGTATAGAGAGGCATAAGGGTAACTTCAGTGTTTCTGTCTGAGTAACAGGGAACGTGGCGTTTCCATCCACCAAAATGACAAGAAGAGATTTCTTTATATGTCTTTTGAGAAAATTTGATAATTTTTTCATAAGTCTTGCTCCTTGTTGATATTAATATACTAAACTATTAATGTAATATTTAGTTTTATATTTAGTAAATTACAGTGTAATGAACTCTTCATGGTTTAACTTCAATTTGTATTCTCAAACCTTGAATTTTCTCATTATTTATAATAGTGAGCCCATTAAATTATCTATGCAGAAATATATTATATGCCAGTAATGGCTATTTTGTCATTTCAATTCTTATTCCCATTTATTTTACTTATTTTTTTGGATTGGCTAGGACAGAAATCAACAAACTATGGCCTGCATGTCAAATATTGTCTACTCACTACAAGTTTTATTGTAACACGGTCACTTTCATGCATTTATGTGTCATCTGTGGCTGCTTTTCTGCTACTACAGAAAAATAAAATAGTTGCAACACAGACTGTATGTTCTTAAATATTTAATATCTGACCCAAACAGAAAAAGTTTGTTAATTCCTGGGTTAAGATTATCAATACCCTATTAAATAATAGCATCGATTACAGATATTGAGTTTTGTACTTGATTAATGGAAATGTACTTAATACATGATGTTTGCAGTAGGATTTTTTTATATAATCTTCATTGAGTTAAGGAAGTTCTCACCAGGCCCTAGTTTCCAAAGAGTTATGGGGTTGAACATTCTAGTAAATTTTTTTTTGAACTAAAGTGCTGTTAATATGCAGAATTTTGTAAATAGAATGGGTAAAGCATCTTTGCATTCCTGAGATAAACCCAACGTGATTATAGTTCCTTAATTTATTTATTTTAAGGATTTATTATTTATTTATACAAGCACTGGGTACAGTCAGAAGCACGGGAGGGTGAGAGAATTCACCAGAGCCAGAGCAGGGAACAGAACAGGCAGACTGACGAAACACACTGCTGAGGGGAGCAGCGGGCACGGCAGGAGGTCTGTCACGCCATGTGGGACCCTCGCCTGCGGCCGGGAATTGAACCAGTGCTGCAGAGGCTGCGGGCAGCTTCTCAGCCCAGGGCTCAACTGCTGCGCCACCAGGGGAAGCCCTAGTTCCTTAATTTTTTAAATAAATATTGGCTATGATTTGTTACTACTTTTTTTTTTAAAGATTTATTTATTTATTTATTTATTTATTTATTTATTTATTTATTTATTTATGCAAGATCCGGGGTACAGACCAGATGCGCAGGAGGGTGAGAGGATTCACCAGAGACAGAGTGGGGAACAAAACAGGCAGACTGATGAAATACACTGCTGAGGGGAGCAATGGGCGAGACAGGAGAGGTCTGCCACACCATGTGGGATTCTCGCCGGCCAGCCGGGATCGAACCCTATGCTGCAGAGGCTGCGGACAGCTTCACAGTGCGTCACTCAACCACCTGCACCACCAGGGAGGCCCCATTACTACTTTATGAAAGAATTTTAAATCTATGTTCATAGAGACTGGACAAAAAGTTGATCAAACTACTGTATATTCTGATTGTGGTGGTTATACAAATCTATATATGTGCTATAATTCATAGAATTGTACATTAAAAATATATTTTAATATGGACAAAGTAAAATGCTAAAAAATGAGACAATTGGAACTGTGAATATTGACAAAGTGGTTGTTGAAATTAAATAAATCTTGTTAATTATTTTCAGGTAAAATAATGGTATCATGACTATTTTTAAGTTCTTATTGTTTTAGAGAAGGACGCTAAAATATTTAAGGACAAAAATATGTGCTGTATGGGACTTCCTTAAAAATAATACTGGAGAGAGGAAACAAATAAAATAAGCCTGGCCATGAGTTAACAATCGTAGGAGATGGGTGATGGGTACATGGAACTTCATTGTACTAGAGCTGTTTATAAAGGGGGTGTGGGATGTTAACCTTCAACATCAGGCTGCCTGGCATCCAGCTGCTTTTCCATTTATTAGTCATCTTTGGCCAAGTTACTTATTTGTCCTAAACTTCTGTTTCCCCATCCATAAAATCAAGATATTAGTGATAACACCCATCTCACAGATTGTTGTCAGGATTAAGTGGATGTTGTCAGAATACATGAAAAGCAATTTACCTAGAACTAAGTACATTAGAAGGACTCAATAAATGTTAATTTTTTATTGTCTTTGCTATTACATTTCTCAGTCCAATTCCTCCATGCCACTATATAAGCAGGTCTTTTCCCCACTCTCCTCACTCTCCTCCTCTCGTATCTTAAAAGGACCACTGTGTTTCACAGCCTAATACAGATGAACTATATCTTTGAATTCTACTTTCCCCTCATACTACACTACGTGTACTGCTCTTCTTCTATTATTTATCCAGGAAGGAATCATACACTTTAAAGGTTGAATTGAAACATCCATAAACGAAGGGTTACTGTGACTCCCCCTGAGGGAAGCTCAACTGCTGGATGACACTATTAGAGCCACAGAATCTGAGATAGGAAAGACCTGTCAGAGCAGCTGCCCCTTCAAGGCAGCAGTGCTCCCCAACCTCCCTAACGCCTCCATTTTTAGGACTCAGGCACTCACCCATGGTTACTGAGACCACACAGTTAAGGTTTCCAGGACAAGCCCAATTGCAAACACTCTGAGTCATGGTTCCCAGTCACGTACTCTTACTAGTTAAAGTGTGCTGTTTGGGGGTCAGGAAATACAATTGCTGAGAGAGGCCTGAGTTATAGTTATACACTCCTTTTTCCCATGTGTCTCTCTCTTATTATACCTTCTATCCAGCAAAGGGAAGAGTCTAGAACCTCTCCAACCATAACCGGGCAGTGGCAGCGATCAACAGTGTGGCTTCTTAGGCCAGCAGTGGACATGTCAGAAGCACTAGAACATTATCTCCTTAGTCTCTCAGAGCAGAAAAGTGCAGGTGCCCTCTCTCCTCTCCTCCCCAACTCTCCCTCCAGATGGGTACCCACCCCACTAAAACACACCTTGCCTCGCCTCAGGAAGGTATACTGGCTGCTTCAAAAACTCAAAGCAGGGGATATTTTCAGCCAGCCCAGGAGAAAAGGAAAACAAACCTTTTGGATCGTTTCACACAGGTTGCCAACTGCAACTGAAACCTGCCTCCACTGTCCCTGGCGTCCTTACACTTTCAGGTATCGTATGGACTGTGCAGGTTTCACCTACCGCTCTGCATCGAAAGGCAAGTGTCGATCTGGCTAAGAAACTTCATATAAGAAGAAAACAATCTTGGCAAATGAGGGGTTCAAGTAGCTCTCCAAGGCTATTTCGGACTCCCCCCGTCCTGTGCTTCTGCAGCCAACAGAGCGCAGCCCTAAAATCCTGAGTGTCTGCTGACTTACTAGAGTAGCTGACATCTGTTGATTTTTTTGCTCTATGAGAGGCAGTGCACTAAGCAGGTGACGGTCTCACTGAAGTCCCACAATCCCCCTATGAACTAGAGTGTCACGGTATGCGTCCATTTGCAGGTGAGGAATCAGGGGAGTTGAGTGAGTTACCCAAAGTCACAGGGCCAGTGAGCTCTGGAGGTGAGGGTCTTACTCAGCACAGCCTGCCTCAGAGCCCAGGTCTCTGACCCTGAGCACAGAAGAACCCAGATCTGGACCAGAGACTTTACTTGGACCCAAAAGAAGCTAGTGAGAGGCCCCTATGGCCTCACGTCCCGGGCCAGGAAATACAGTTGTCCCGCTGCTGTTCATTCCTTACGGAGCCTCCACCGGGCTGCGCATTTCCCTGGTTGCAATTCAGCCTGTTGAAACACTACATTATGTCTAATTTCGGCCCCTTTTGCTCTAATGTGAACCTGTCTCTGACCCAACGCTAGCTAACTCTCTGTTTAGCCTTCGCCGGCTCAGAAATTCCCAGACACCCCCGCCCCGCCGCCCCCACTCGGCGTAATTCCCAGTTTGCCAACGCTCCCATCCTGTTCGGGGATAAGCTGATCCAAGCGGCCGGCCCCATAAGCCTAGGGAGGAGGGGGGCTGGACCCGCAGTCCTAAGTGACCTTGGGTTCGCACGGGGCAGCGGGGCTGGGGGCCGGCGTCTAGGGGGCGCGGGTGGGGCGCAGCCGCTCCGCCCGCCGGCCCCGCCCCGCGCCGGGCCCCGCCTCCTGCCCACCCCGCGGCGCATTGTGGGATCTGTCAGTGGGCCCGGAGGTGGAGGACGCACGGTCCGGTCATGGGGCTCCAGCCGGTGAGACCCTCGCGCCGGACCTTGTACCAGGGGACTCCGCCGCATCTGGTTCTGGGCACTGGGCTCCGGACCAGGGGCGCTCACCGCCGACCCCGCCCTGCAGGGCTCTGCATCCGCCCCGATGCCGGGGTCCCGGTACCGCCTGTTCTGGCCGGGACCCTGCCCAGCTTACCCCTCTGGCCTTGGCTTGCTCCAGCGCTAGAATTCGGGATCGCTACCCCTGGGGCGTAACGGGACGGTCGCTACCTAAGCCCCGGGCTCTTCTCCAGCGCGGTGGTCACGCTGCCTCCTTTACCCACAGAGCCCAATCCTGCTGGCCTCCCTGGGGGTGGGGCTGCTGACTCTGCTAGGCCTAGCGGTGGGATCCTACTTGTTTCGGAAGAGGTCCCGCCGGTCGCCCATCACGCTCCTGGACCCGAATGAAAAGTACCTGCTGCGACTGCTGGACAAGACGGTAAACTGCGGAGAGAGGGGGTGGGCTAGAGGAGGGTGCCGGCGTTCCCCTCCGGGTATGAAGCGCACAGCATCATTTTGGTTGGGCCCCTACGGACTTGGCTGCCTCAGACCTCCCTGGTGAAACACTTGTGTCCTCCATCCTCCAGACCGTGAGTCACAACACCAAGAGGTTCCGCTTTGCCCTGCCCACCGCCCAACACATTCTGGGGCTGCCTGTGGGTAAGGAGAATGTGGAGTGGGCTCCTTTCCCTGGTATCCTAAGAGGGTGAGTCCCCTTCTGGGGTCTCCTGAAATTCGCTTCTTCAACTATTGCCTCCACACCCCGAGTCCCCTTCACTATCTAGCCATGGGTCCTCCAGGCTGTGAGGTGCCTCTGGCCCCCAGACATCTTTCCACTCACCAACCTTCCCTTCTTCCTGCAGAATCTGCTCATATCTCCCCCTGAGCAAACACTACTCTCCCCATCGCCCAGCCCCTCAGCTCGCCTGGCAGTAATTGATGAGTTTCCCCAATGTGGGTTTTTGAGGGATCCAAGTGGGGGCTGAAAGGGATGAATCCCCCCTGCTTGGTAGTACACTGGGCCACAGTGAGAAGCAAGATGCCCTTGTTCTCTCAAATCCCCCTGAGTATTTTCAAGGCAGCAGGTGTGTGGCACACCCATGAGCAGCCTCTGATGTAGCTCTCCACGTGGTCCCCAGGCCAACATGTCTACCTCTCTGCCCGAATTGATGGCAGCCTTGTCATCAGGCCATACACTCCTGTCACCAGTGATGAAGATCAAGGCTATGTGGATCTTGTTATCAAGGTAAGGGGGTGGGAAGGAACCCCAGGAGCTCCTAACCCTATTCTTTCTGGGATTTGTAGAAGCTTTCAGAATTTGTTTGACAGCAGATGCATATCCTCTGTGGGTGAAAAAGGTGTGTGGACTGGGAAGAGGCAACACACTTGTAACCCTTGACCCCAGCTTCTAGGGGGTTCAGGCAACATGCTATGATCAGGACAGCCAATGAAGTTCTCTGCCATTAATGAAGACTCACAGTCTAAGTGAATTTGCAGTGGGGGGAGGCTGGGGAGATCCATCGAGAGCAGCTCTGCCTTTCACTCTCCCAGCCCAAGCTTTTATTAAAGATATGAACAAAGGAACATGAAAATAGCATGCAATTGTGTTTATGCTTATACAAATTAATAAGTTACTGCTGAAAACAACCTTTTCTAGTTAGTAGGGAACATGCACACAAACCAGTACATCCTCAGAGAACAGGAGATAATTCTGGGAATAAGTTCTGTTTGCAGAACTTCTAATGTCCTGTAACTCCATCTGCAGAGTAAACAGGTCTTCTCCAAAAACCCCAGCTGCCTTCAGGGCAGCAGGCTCCCAACAGAAACAATGGGCTCAGAGGCCAGGAACATTCTGAATATTTCCCTTTCTGTCTTATCAGGTCTACCTGAAGGGTGTGCACCCCAAATTTCCTGAGGGAGGAAAGATGTCTCAGTACCTGGATAGCCTGAGGATTGGGGATGTGGTAGAGTTCCGAGGGCCAAGTGGCTTGCTCACTTACACCGGGAAAGGTAATGGCCCTCTTCGGCCGGTGACTGCCCCCCACTTCTTCAGTGCCACACAGTGTGGCCGTGCGTATGAGTGCACACATGCAAGGGCCAGAGCTGCCTTTCCTTTCAACACAGCACTGGTATTACAGAAAGGCAGATTTCTCCGCCCCATTTCCACAAGGATCAGTTCTCCATCCACTGGAATTCTCCAGCTGCGACAGCTGGGGCGATCGCTAAAGCAAACATGCCTCTGTCCCTCCCTCAAAGAATCGCCCTTCAGACTGAACAAGAGAGAGCAGAGATCGCTTTCAGCCCTTCTCATGGGCATAGCTGGGTGCATTAGCAAGTCTCTGGAGCTCCTCTGTGCCACTGCAAAAGTAGACTTATACCTGGCCCCATGCCTGCCACCCTCACCAGGGAGCAGCCCTCTGCCAGAGGCAGCTGATGACTCACTGTGTGGCTCTACACAGATGGGTAGTTAATAACACAGGACAGACAGCCCTGGCTCCATTGTCACTCAAGTGTGCTATTGTCAGGGTTGGCTCAACCCAAACCTCCACTGAAGCCACAGGGTCAGATTTCACAGCAGCTGCTAAGCTGGCCTGGGACGTGGTCTTAATTCTACATTTGTTTTCTTAGTTTCCTATTTTAACTTTCTTCTTCCACCCCTCTCTTTACTTGCCCTTTAGGGAACTTTAGCATTCAGCCCAACAAAAAGTCTCCTCCAGAACTGCGAGTGGCAAAGAAGCTGGGAATGATTGCTGGCGGGACAGGTATAAGTCACTTGAGGGGTCATTCTCTGCCACCATTGTTGTGTCCATGAAAACTGCCAAGTGGCCCTAAGAAGGTTTGGCAGCCATAGCCAAGCTGTCAATTAGGGGGTTCCTAGCAATGCCTAGAGCTTCTGGAATCTGAAAAAAAACACTAGGATGAGGTAGAAACCCCCAAAACTGTTTTTGGTTTTTTTTTTAAAGAGGCATGTATTTTATTTATTTATTTGTTTGTTTGTTTGTTTATACAAGCACTGGGTACAGTCAGAAGCGCGGGAGGGTGAGAGAATTCACCAGAGCCAGAGCTGGGAGCAGAGCAGGCAGAAGGACCGAAGTACACTGCTGAGGGGAGCAGTGGGCAGCAGGAGAGGTCTGCGCGCCATGTGGGACCCTCCTCTGGTGGCCGGGGAGCAGCCGGGGATCAAACCGGCACCGCAGAGGCTGCGGGCAGCTTCGCAACCCAGCGCTCAACTGCTGCGCCACCGGGGAGGCCCCCAAAAAATGTTTTTAACTGATGAAATGAGAGAAATAAATTAGGTGGGCTGTCCCATGACATTAAGTTAAATGGATCTAATAATTTTAGGCATAGAAAGGATAGGAATAGGCGAATCAAGAAGAAAGGAAATCAACAGTGGACTCTTCTATATATTTAATACCATGTTAGTGACTTTATACGCGGATTTAGCCTTCCCCTTTACAGGTGAGAAAATGGAGGTTCAGAGAGGGTAAGTAGTTTCCATAGGGTTATTGGCAATGGCCAGAGGCAGGATCAGGACCCAGCTCTGCCTGATTCCAAAGCACACACATTTACCCTGCAAGTCCAGTGTTGCAGAACCCCCATCACCAAATCAACAAGTACTTCAAGTTATCTTGTGACCATGGATCCTAGTCCAAGAGGGACTTTCAGAGGAAAAAGGACTTCAGCAACATGAACTTACATGAATGTTGAGCATCTCCACAACTCACCTACCAGATATGAAATTTAGTGAGTTGGAGTGAAGGGCATATCTGTCCAGAAACCTAGGTAGTGAGAACTATGGGGTAAGACTGAGAATTAAGATGTTAAAGGAAATGATGAAAGGATTGATCAGTTAAGGAGCTGGGGCAGGAGAGACTGCGGCCACCAATCTCCCTATGGGTATCTTTATGCAGGAATAACCCCAATGCTACAGTTGATCCGGGCCATCCTGAAAGACCCTGAAGATCCCACCCAGTGCTTTCTGCTTTTTGCCAACCAGGTTGGTGGCATGTTTTCCTCTGTCCTGGCACTTCAAAGTGGTTGTGTAGGTAGGGCTGATGTGTGGCACTAATGGGCAGAACTGACCCATGGCTTCTTCTAGCCTGTGTCCAAGGGTCTCTATGCAAAGGAAAGGGCCCTACAATAAGGACAGAGCAGCGATCTCAATTCCTTCCCTGGTCCCAAGGAAAGAAGAACATAAAACATTTAAGGAGTGTAGTCCTGAGTACCGAAACTTGGCTATTTTTAGTTAAATATTTTACCTTTATTCCTTCATGCTATATAAACAAAGGCTGTTTCCCTCACCTTCCCCTCATCCTAACTCCCTAAAAGTCTTGCTCACTCCCTAGAACTTCACCATTATTTTTCACTCCCGGTTGAAAAATTGTTAGAGCAGAAAATTTTTTTTGAGTGGCCTCAAAAACATTCCTAAAAACTTTGTTACCCCTTCTCATTTTCGTTTCAGACTGAAAATGACATAATCTTACGGGAAGATTTGGAGGAACTACAGGCCCAGTATCCCAATCGCATGAAGCTCTGGTTTACTCTGGATCATCCACCAAAAGGTACCCTCCCCATTTCTGGACGTCCCTAAACCAGGGCCTTTCCCCTCTGTGAGTTCTGGCTGCAGTGAAACCAGCTCTCCCTGGCACTGCCAAACTCCCAAGTGAGTAGACATGGGGGTCTTCTGGGCTGGTGCCTGTTTACCTGGGGCGGGGGAAGGGATGTCTGTGCTGCTGGGGCAGACTGAGTATACAGCTGCTACAGCTGGATGGCTTCTGAGGTGCCTTTGGGGTCCTCCCCCTGCCCCACCTATGGGCTCTACAACCCCTGTCAGCTTGGGCCTGGAGCATCAGTTCTTTCCTCTCCCCTCTGCTTCAGATTGGACCTACAGCAAAGGCTTCGTCACCGCCGACATGATCCGCCAGCACCTGCCAGCCCCAGGGGATGATGTGCTGCTGCTGCTCTGCGGGCCTCCCCCGATGGTGCAGCTGGCCTGCCATCCCAACTTGGACAAACTGGGCTACTCACAAAAGATGCGATTTACCTACTGAGCATCCCCTAGTCTCCCGGTCCCACTTCCCGCAACTGTCCCCAATCAGTACTCAAATGCTATAAGCCTTTCCTGAGAATTCCAGCCTTTTGGTCTCACTCTGGAGCTAAAATCTAGATGGCGCTTGCAGGGACAACATCCTTGTGGCCATGGAAAAGGGCCAAGTCCGAGTCATTCACTGGAAGGGCCCCTTTGATAAAAAGTCCTGGTCAGGCCTATGGAATAATCTCTTCTGTGAGTCAGAAAGAAGGAAGCCTGGGAAGGAAAGGGAAAGAGAAAGGAAAGAAAAGGAAAAAAAACATTTATTCCAAGACTACTGGCCCCTCGAGGGCATTGCGCTAGTCTGTGATGCAAGGAAAAGCAATGTAATGGGTTCTACTTAATATTCATGCTTAACCCACAGCAGATTTTGAACGTGTGAGCACAAGTTGAGCAGAATCATAGAGGTAGCCTTATAGAGACTGCAGGAAAAGAAGAAATGGTTTCTGCAGATCTCCAACCCCTCAGAGAAGGAATCTGAAATATGTATGTGTGTGTCTGTCTCTCTGCCCCTGCCCAGGCTGGAGGCAATGCCTACCCAAAGTGTAAGACTGCGCTGTGGCAGGAACCTCTGGCTACACAAATAAATGGGGCTGAGGCCCCTGTGTCATACCTCAGGGGTTGTTGTGTCTGGGGTCCTTGTTTCCAAGATTTTTCATGCCCTGCTATCTTGGGAGGGAGGGTTTCCCCAGCGCAAAATTTCGGCCAGGGCTTCCAAAGAGCCTTTCAGCCATCATGTACTGTGTGCTGAAATGTGATCTGCCGCCAAGCTCAGTGATCATCTTAGCAGCTGTCTCAGCAGAGCCAGAAGCTCAGCTTCTCCCTGGAAGCTCTTAGGGTGGGGGAAGAACACATTAGAGGGGGTGCTTTTGAGCCAGGTACCTCTCACTGTGTTCCCTTGTCTCGGCCATTCTTCTGTCTCTTGTCCATTCCTTCACCATATTTATCCTTCAGGGTAACTGGCTAACAAAGCAAAGTTTCATCTTTCTGTTTGGAAGAGAAGCCTTCTCCTTTAAAAAGTAACCTGACATCGCCAGCCCCAGCCAGACATGTTGGTGCCTGAACAGAGTTGTTCCCGCACCCCCAGCTCCTCTGTCCTGACTGCCCTTCTCTGCTGTGCCTGCATCACCCAGTCCACTCCCTTCTCCCTAGGGAAGCTTCCTCAGATCTTTCTTGTTAGTCTCATTGGGACAGAACAATGCATCAGCCTCTGGAGGAAAGTTGACATTGTTTTTCTGCATGGAATTACGATTTGATTTCCAAGGTGCTCCTGAAAGCTTTTCCAACTCAGAATTCACGTCTCCACTGGGTTATCTTCCGTAAATTCTGTTGTTGGTATTCCAACAAACACTTCTTGGTTTTCGAGTATGCATACAGGAAGGGCTGTGCTCTATGAGTCACAGTCTTGGACTCTTCACCTACAGAAAGAAAAACCTTGCTTGGGGTTATTGGATTGAGACAGTGAAGCATCGCAGCAAAGAGAATTTCCCACATGGAAGCTTATATTCCTTATTTTGCACAGATTTCTGCCTTGTCCACTCAACATATGAACATTTATTAAGGACCTGCCATGTGCACTGCGCTAGACCCTGAGGATATAATCATGACCAAGACTGATCTTAGATCCCAAAAAAACTCACAGTCTAAAATATGATTAGACATGTGACAAATCATTACAACACGGTGTGATTTAGCTTATAGTAGTAAACAAGGTTCAGATGGGAAGTTGAGAAATATTTAGGGGAGAAAGAACAGAAAGAGAATTCATATTTTTAAGTTAACAGTCATGTATGTACCAGGTACTGTGCTAAGTACTCAGTTCTTAGGACAATTAAAGATTTGCCAAAGATCATTCAGGTTGGCAGAACCTGAATATGAACTTAGGATTATCTTAGTTCAAAGCCAAACCTAGAACTAGCTCTTCAGCATTTTCAGCAGAGAATGAGGGAAGAGCAATCCAACAGAAGGATCAGCATATGCAAAAGCCTGGAGGAATGAGACCCTGTATTTGGAAAACTAGGAGAAGATCATTGAGGACCAAGATACCAGAGGGAAAGTGCAGGAAGATGAGATTAAAGAATAGGTTAGATCTAGAATAGGTTCAATCTAATAGGTTAGATTGAAGAATAGGTGGAGAGCCTTGTAACACCATGCTGAAGAAACTTGAACTAATACTGTGGATGATGGAAATTTCTGCATTTTATACAGCAGACAATGCAACAAGAGCTAACATTTCTGAAGCACTGATCATTCGCCAGGGATCTCACTAGGTGCCTGCTTTATTACTTAATTCTGACAATCAGTGAAACAGTACTATCTTACCCCCATTTTTCAGATAAGGTCATTGTCATTTGGAGGGATTTAGTAATGCATCATCGGCTGCCCAGAGCCCAAAATTTTAACCAGAACCAAGAGAATTAACCCCATTGCCAGAGGCATCCATATGTCATAATAAATAACCCCTCTGCATTACAATAGCACTAGGAATGTGCTATCCTGAGAGGACCAGAAGACTGTCAGTCCCTCCAATCCTTGTCTGTGTTCTGTGGTTCTGATGCGGGCCCCACCACCGTAAGCGTCTCCTAGACAGGCACTCCAGGTGCCACCACTCTGACACAAAGTGGCATCAAGAGCTGTAACAGGGGGGCCCTCCCTGATGTCCCAGGTGTTAAGTCTCGGTGCTATCCCCTCTGCTGCCTGAGTTCCTGAGTTCGATCCCCGCCAGGGAGCTGACCCACATATGGCGCAACATACCTCTCCCGTCTAGCTGCTGCTTCCCTCCACAGTGTATTTCAGTAGATCTGCCTGCTCTGCTACACTATCTCTGGCCTACACTCCAGTTCTCATACACAAAAATAAATTATATTTTTAAAAGATCTTAAAGAAAAAAAAAGCGCTGGAACAGGGAGTTTTCAAGCAAGAAATAATACCCGATTCTAACAACTAATAACAGGAGTCAAAACGAAGTCTAGCTCAGTGTCTGGCACATGATAGGTCCTCAATAATGACCTGTGACAGTGAGGAAGGGGCGGTGGGGCTGCAGAAGGGGTAAGCGCTTGGGAGATAAAACGCCTGGTGCGGGTACAGCCGCGGCGCAGGGTGAGGCGCGCGGCGGGGAATCGGGCATTCCTCCGCGCGGTCGGGCCTGCTCCCCAGAAATTGCTCCTCCGCGCAGCGCGGCTCGCGGCGTCAGGGCGTGGTCCTTCCCGAGACCGCGCCGAGCCGACTTTACCACCCGCGCGGAGCAGGGAGGCGGGGCCTGCCGCGGGGCCCTGGGCGCGCGGGCGGCCCCAGCCCGGGGGCGGGGCGACGAGGGGCGGGCCCGCGGCGGGGGCGTGGCCGGGGCGCGGCCGCGCTGGGGACGCGGGGGGAAGGCCCGGGAGGCGGGGCGAGGAGCGCGGGAGGAGGTGACGCGGCCGCGGAGGTGACGCCGTGTGGTCGCGCGCCCCTTCCGGCGCGGGGAGGGCGCTGACGATCCGGGGCCGCTCGGCCGCAGGCCGCCTCCAACGCCGCGGGATGTAGCGCCGGGGACCGCGGCCCCCAGCAGAGCCTCCCGCCCGACTGTGAGTTTCCCGGGGCGGACGCCGCGAGCGGGTGGGCGGAACTCGGCCGGAGCGCGGGGACCCCCGAGGACCTTCGGCCGGGGCCAGAGACTGGGCAGCCGGGTAGGGTGGGAGGTGACCCGCTCACAAGTCCCGAGGGCCGAGACCCCCTGCCTCGGAGACGGCCGGGCTCCCCCCACAAACCCAGGGGTCTGGGTTGTAAACATTTCCGGCCCCTCCTACTGCGCGCCGCCTCCGAGGCGGCTTCTGAAGCAGTTTCAGTGCGGAGGACCGGGCTGCGCGTCCCCTGCTGTGCCCCGGCTGCCGGCTGCCCTGGTGAGTGCTTGTGTTCCCAGCCGCGCCGGGGGTGGAGACGGATTCGGGCTCTGACTCCGGACGGGACAGACCAGAGCTGAGCCTGCTCGGGAGGCCGCCGCGCGAGCTTGGAGAGGAGGGGGATGCGGGCCTGGGTCCTAGACTGCCTCTCAGCAGGGAGCCCACGCCTTCGGTGGCCTGCGGAGCCCTAAGGTTCCTCGACCGGCAGGTCCACGGTGACCGTGGCCCCCCCACCACCTTGACGGGTGAGGAGGGGACGTTGGTGGACAATTGACTGGCTTAAGGTAGTTCAGAAGCTGAAACTGAGCAAAATCTACTTTGCAGCAAAACGAAATTTTCTTTCACTTAGAAATCGCACATTGATGTTTGCCAGCTTGTGTTTGGGATTTGGGGTTTTCAAGCCTTCAGTTTTTCAGGGAAAAAAACAGATGTTTCATCACAGTTTCTGGTGCTTCGGGGGTGAATGGGAAACTGACCAGGCGAATTTCAGTTTACACAGTTTCAGGTGTCAGAGGAGCAATAAGAGACCCACACAATGCTTTACTTATCCATAGTGCTACCTCCAAGTATTTAGAAGACAGGCTAGAAAACACAGCAGGAGATAGGCTGCCACGACTCAAATCAAGAAATCAAGCTCAAAGCTGATCATGGCTGATTCTTTTCTGAAATGAAAGAGTGGAATCTGTTTACCACTTTTCTCTCTTGATAAGGATTGGGTCACCTGTGATGGTGCAACTGCTGATGCTGAGGTTTTTATATTATCTATACTGTACTAGGAATTTAGACTGGGCGGTGCTAAACAGAGTGCAATGTCAGGATAGCAGTTCCCAGCTTGCAGCCACTTCACTCAGTTTCTTTATTCCAGAAATAACTTATGTGTTCCCAGATAGTGGCTGGCACTTGGGCAATCAATCTTAAAACCTGATGTGTTTCTGAAAGTTCATCCTAGGGTAGACCTCCACAAAATTGTCCCTTATTGCAGAGCAAATTCTGAAAGCACTCTGTCCACCGTGGCCAAGAAATCACATGATTCCCAAGGGATTTAAAAGAAAATTAATCGACCCCTTTGCCTCCAAGTAGGAAAGAATCACAGATGAGTATCAGGAAGCAACATAAATACAGTATGCTCCCCGTTGCTGATGCATAAGGTACACCACGTTAGCTAGGCTTTTAGGCCATCTTCACTTTCTGCAGTCTGGCCTCATTTTACCTTTCCAAGACTCCCATATGAAAAAGTACCCTGGGATCTTTTTCTTTCATGTCTGCCTTGGTTCACACATGGTACCCTCCTGAAATGCCCTGCTTCTGTCTCTGCCTATCAAGAGCCTTTCTTAAAATTTTCTACAAACCTTTCCTCATCATTCCAACTAAAATTGAGGTTTTCTGCTTACTTTCTCCAACACTTCATGGCATTTAGTCTTGAGATGTTAGAAAATAAAAATGATTTCCCTCTTAAAATAGGCCAGCAACCATGTCTAACTACTCTTTGTCTCATGTCTAGCCACAATGTCACACATACCTATTGTGAATCACAATAGGTATTCTCATCCGGATAAAGGATAGAGTTTGCACTTCTTTATAGGTCAGTAAATTTGTTCTCTATTTCCCTAGGAAAATTTTTTACTCTTGTAATATTAAGCTAACAAACGCTTAACATTCTTGCTGCATTATCAAGACCCATGCATTTATGATCACACTGGTGAACTAAACATCTTTAGTCTAGAGCTTTATTAATCTAGAGCTTTATTAATTTTGGTGGGCTTTTTTTTTTTCTGGTTCTGATACTATCAGAGTTATTACATTTTGTCCTTAATGCCCATTTGTTCCTCATATTGCCCAAGGGGCTTTGTACTTCTCACTATACTCAAAGTTAATTCCCTTTTCTGCTCAGAAAGGTTGGGGGTGTGATTAATGTTTATAAAGTTTGTAGCTATCTTGGATTGCAAAGATCCTTGAACGGGCCCTCTAACTAAACCAGTTCCAAGTGATTGGCTTTTAGGCATGTACCTAGTTTACTTTTGTTTTATTGGGCTTTCTGAAGTATACAGAGATCATTAAAATGTGTAACTGTATTGACCATATATCTGTAATGTATTTGAAAGCCGGGTATTAAAAAATAGGAACTCTTTCATATACCTATTTACTGTTTACTGTGTGTGTGCATGTACATGGGTGTTGGTTATGGCATTTGAAAAGCTTATGTCTTTTGTTGGAGGCTAAAAAGATCTCTTCTGTAGGGATAGCTTTTACTGGAAAAGAGTTGCAAAGGAAGTTAGATTGTGATTTTCCACTTCAGACTCTTAAATGAGACTTGGCATCAGATAGGAAAGCTGAGGCCTCATTACAGCATTTTGGTTATTTTCAAACATAGGTCTTTGCCTTGCCTTATTTTCCCCCAGCAGTGCTGTGAAACCACCTTTCCCAGCAAAGGGAGTATATACTTTGAGAAAATGTAACTGTGTTGTCTTTGCTGCTAGACTGGTTTCACTGGGAAAGGTCAGTGTTGAAGTAGACATAGAGCCTGCTCTTGGAATTTCTAA